GCAGTTTAACCCTATGCCATATGTAACTTTGTATGAGGCTGGCTAGGCACGCCCCTAGGTTGGGGCAGTCTAGTCTTATGCTTTCTTGTCGTCAGTTAAGCAGAAGCCAGGCGTACCCTTAGGTTAGGGCGGCTTGGTCATATGTTTTATGTTACGGGTTATGTTGTGCTGGGCACACCCCTAGGTTGGGGCAGTCGGGACATACGTTTTTGTCCTCTGTTGGGCATACCCTTAGGTTAGGGCAGTCCAATTGTAAGTATCCTTACTTGTTTATTTAAGCAGGTCGGGCATACCCTTAGGTTAGGGCCTTGCCTGATCCTATGCCATAAGTGAGGGGGTTTTACTAAAGGGAAGAACTGAAYGATTCAACGAATTACTTGAGCAAATTGATGTGGGATTGCGAGAGATGTATGTGTATGYATGTTGTGGGCTCTCACTTGGGGCGTCTTTTCAATAGGATARCTGCTTTAGATGCTCGCCAMGTGCTGGAGCCATAGGTAGACTAGATGGGTGATGGGAGGGAGAACTTGGAATGATGGTAGGACTGACCCTGCCAGGAGTTAGGCCYAATGTCAGCCCACGGTCTCATCTAGAGGTCGTGCTGGCTGTCATTGAGTCTGAATCATCAAGCAGATGTCAGAAGTTAGTCCCAAGTATAATTGCTTTGTCTTTCTACTTTTTCAGCTTCGTATAAATCTTGGCAGTCTCCCGTTCCTACGGGAAGCGCTACTGAAATTTCTACAAATTTGGAGGAGTTAGTAATTTTTGGGGTCATAGAATTTATGAAAAGACATTTTTCCTACGGGAAGCGCTGCCGAAATTTTGTAGGATGTAGGGAGTTAAAATATTTTGCAGTGGGGAGCAACCCAACAAATCCATTCTGATTAGAGGAGATACTCAGTGACTTGGTACTAGTAGAGGAGCAGGGTACGACTAGGGGAATGTTTTTCCCTTGGCACAGRCATAAGTAGTACGTTCCTTTGGCCTGTACTKTGATGCAGGTTCCCGTGTTATCATTTGAAGGCTTGATCTGATCAGGCTACTTCGTCAAAAAGATCGTTCTTCTGTTATCACTGGTGTTATCACTGATAACAGGTCGGTTGCCCATTCGTCGGTCTACGAGTCAACCCCAATTCACTCTCAATACTCAACCTWAAWAGRCTTTAGCCCTGGTGATTTTATTGTYTTGTTGAGGCWTCACCMAGACTTTTATTGAATGGCCATTTAACAGAGGTACTGAGTACTTAATTATGATTGGTTGGCTGGAGGTTGGGGCTTGCACARCTAAAGCAAGAGGTTTGAGTGGAGAGGTTGKTTGGAGTTGACTCCGTGTAGTGTGCGGATCCTTTGCTTGATTCTGTGATGTGATTACAGGTATGTTGGGAAGAGTCTCGATTGATTTGTGTGGAGTGATATTGCTTTGGATTCAGATGGGCAAACCACACAA